TGATGCTAAAATACCGCAGGCTTTGGGCATGCATGGCGATTGAGTACAGTCAGACGGTAATGGGTTTGTTGGTTTGGGTCTCCTCACTTGCTGACAGTAATGACAACAGTGAAAATTCTACTATCTAACCATTTGGTGCATTAGCAAGATTATATGTCAGCTTGGCTGGGCCACAGTTCTCAGTGGTTTGGCAGTTATGTAATGCTGTAATTCGGCAGCTATGCCATGATGTAATCATCTTCTATTTTGTGATCCGATGTGGCCCTCCTCCATTTTTGTGTAACGATACATTTTACGTAGAGACCTGGTCTTGAGAACCTAACTGCAGCAATATGTGAAGAGTGGGTGTGTGAGAAGCATGTCTAGTGTGACTGAGGTTCTGAATTTTTAACTTGGAATTTTCAATAAGTTAAAATGCTACCTGTGGCTCGAGTAATTGCACTGAACAGCACAGGTGTTGTTCCACATGTGTGGAAGCCCAAGTCTCGAGACAATGTGGCTCAGGGATTTGCTAAAATCTTAGAGCAGACTTGACACTTTCCTAGAAATAGGACTGGGGTATCTAAAGTCAATGAAATCTTCAGCTAATAATGGTTATTATGAAGGTTTTAAGAATGAATGAGAGAAGGCAAGTTGAAGTTTCTAGAAATGATAACTTCCTTTCATAATCTTAGCTAACAAAGATTTATATGCTCCTATATAAAAAATAAAAATCTCATAACAAGAATTCAGAGTTGTAACAGCAAAACTCCTCACCACTAAGCCACCTCTATGAAGAGTTATTGTTGTTGTTGTGTGTCTTTAAGTAGGAATTGACTCACAGCTGACCTTCCATTGAATTTCTAGAGGCAGTTAATTGCACAGGAGGAGATTGCCCATCCTTTTCCTGCAAACCAGCTGGTGGATTTGAACTGCGTGCCTTTAGGATACCAGCACAGCTTCTAACCACTAGACCACTAGAGCTCCATGATGAGATGGGTAAGGGTGAATTAATTTAAAGAACAAGGATGTCAGTTTAAAGACAAAGGTGCACCCAATCCAAGCCATGGCCTTTGCAACTCCTTCCTATGCATTTGAAAGTTTGACAATAAATAAACAAAACTGAAGAGGAATGGATACCTTTGAATTGTAGTGTTGGCAAAAGGTACAGAAATATGCCATGGACTGCCAACAGAACCCATCTTGAAGAAAGTGCAGCCAGAGTGCTCCTTAGAGGAAAAGATGGTGAAACCTAGTCTCAGTTACTTTGGGCATATTCTCAGAAAGAATCCATCTTTGAAGAGAAACATAATTCTGGAAAAGGTGGATCATCAGAGAAAAAAGAGGAAGGTCTTAAAAAACGGATTGACATAGTTACTACTGCAATGGACTTGAGCAGGACAGAGGTCACACGGAGGGCGCCGGACAGGGCAAGGTCCAGATGTGTTGTTCATAGGATCACTACGAGGGGTAGTAACTTGATGGTACCTAACAACAATGAGAGGTCTCATCTGGGGTCTCCATCATGTCAGTGATGAGGGTTCGTGCCGATGCAGGGATTGTTAGGGGACCTTGGACCCCTGACCCAACTATATTACTATAAACACTCATGGGGCTGCTCTTTCTTCTCCCACCACACTCCACTCCTCCCCTCCACAGGGAAGCAAGTCTCCCCTTTAGACTGTGAGCCCTTCCCACATCAGGGCCCATACTAGGCTCCCTCTCAGTCCCTGCGGCTTAAACAGTGTCTCCCATACAGCCTGTTCTAGCAAGTGCTGACGATCTGAAGACATGAGTGAATAAAGCAGCTAAGGTGGTTTCTCCGTTGACTTACAAAAGAAACACTTACCATTCTAGAGAAACAGCACTAAAGACACGTGAAAATATTTTCCCCTCCCTAAGGTACTGTGATTTTCAGAGGCTTATTATTTCAGAAGAGGGTGGCAAATCCTGCTTCCCAGTCTATCTTACTCTTCTAGCTCTGTTGAAATCTGTCTACTTTGTGGCATTTAAAACACTGGTGGAATAGCATCCAAAATCATAGCGACCTCAGCACCACAGTATAACCCACTGTTTCCCTGGTACAGCAAAATGATATAAGAGTGCTGCACTAATAAGAATAAAATCATAAACAAGCAAACATACAAACATACACTATGCTCGGAAGTAATCAGCAATATGCAGACCATTCATCCACTCCATGCAATCACTATAGATAGGTGTTCCACCTCTAACAGAAAATCGTAAAGACAATCAGTCATACAAGTGTCATGGCACAGGGCACGGAATCACGGAATCACTGTGTCAAAAAGAATTGACCAACCTTAAAAAATTTCAGGAAGTATCATACGAACAAGAAGAGCCAATAGTAATGAATGAAGAAGTCCAAGTTGCATTGGAGGCACTGGCAAAAAAATAAGACCCCAGGAATAGATGGGATACTAAGTGACATGTTTCATATAACAGATACTGCCCACTAGTCTGTGCCAAAAAAATTTGGAGAACAGCTGCTTAGCCAACTGACTGGAAGAGATCCATATTTGTTTTCATCCTCAAGAAGGGTAGTCCAACAGAATGTGGAAATTATCAAACTATATCATTAACATTACAGGCAAGCAAATTATTGCTGAAGATTACCAAAAAAATGGCTAGAACAGTATATTGACAGAGAACTATCAGAAGCTCAGGCTGGTTTAGAAGAGTCTGTGGGACTAGGGATATCACTGCTGATACAAGATGGATCCTAGCTGAAAGCCAAAAAATAAAAAAATACGAGATGAACATCTGTTTTTGTTTTATTGATTATGCAAAGGGATTTGACTATGTGGGTCATAACAAACTTTGGCTAACATTGCAAAAAATGGGAACCCCAGAACACTTAATTATGCTCATGTGAACCTACATAGACCTAGAAGCTGTTGTCCAAACAGAGCAAGGCAACACTGCATGGCTTAAAACCAGGAAAGGTGTTCGTCAGGTTTGTATCTTTTATCCATACATATTCAATTTGTATGCTGAACAAATCATTTTAGAAGCTGAACTCTTGCAAGATTAATGTGGCATCAGCATTGGAGGAAGACTCATCAAGAATCTGCATTATGCAGATGACCCACCTTGCTTTTGAAAATGACGAGGAATTGAAACACTTGCTTCAGAAGATCAAGGACTATAACTTTCAAAATGGATTGCAACTTAACATGAAGAAGACACAAATCTTCACCACTGGACCGATGAGCAACTGGACAGATGGAGAAAAGGATGAAAGTGTGGACAATTTTAGCTTACTTGGATCCGCAATCAACACCCTTGATACAAGCAGTCAGATCAGGAGATGTATTGCAATGGGCAAGTTCACTGTCAGGGAACTCTCCAAATTAACAAGGAACAATGATGTCAGTTTGAAGACTAAGGCGTGCCTAATTCAGGGCATGGTGTTTTCAGTCACTTGCTATGTATCTGAGAGCTGAACAATTAACAAGAATGACAGAAGAATTGATGCTTTGGAGATGTGCTGTTGGAGATGAACTATCCCAAGGACTTCCAAAAGAACAAACAGATACATCCTTAAAAAAGTGCAGCCAGAGTGCTCCCTGGAGGTAAGAATGGTGAAACTTTGACTCACATACTTCGGGCATGTTGCTAGGAGAGGTTATTTCTTGGAAAAGGACATTTTGCAGGGCAAAAAGAGGAAGAACTCTCAACGAGATAGACTGAAGAATATAGATTTATCATAAAGATAAGACGCTGTCAGGTTTGCTGTGAAATATCAAGTAATACCACATTCTGCTGAGGACTCCCAAACTTCAAGTCCAAGGACACAGTCCATGCCTCAGTTCCCCTAAGGTGTTTACATTGGTGGGCAATGCAGCTCACCTGTGAGCACGTGTGATTTGATAGGTGCCTCTCAGAAGGGGGAAAGTGACCTTATATAAATGACACATTGAAGAGCTCCAGGGGTGATGCCCATTCTCACTCTGGACTATTATTTCTGAGATTCACTACAGCAAATTCATGTGTGATTTGGTAATTGAAAGTAACGTAGAATTCTCTAAACACTACACACCTTGGATGAATCTGGGGGGACTTTATGTGAATTACATAAGTTGGTTGCAAAAGGACTAATGTTATATGTATGAGTCTATTAACATAAAAAGGTAAAAGACAGGTTTATATAAAGAAATATTTTTATCATTCATATACACTGTGTTTCATGCATTGTACATTATGTTTTACAGAGTCTTTCTTTTAGACCATATCTTGCTCATTTATATTGTGGGGACTTTTTGCACCCCTTACAATCATCTTCCTACTAACTGCTTTTGTGAAAGCCTATAAGCTTACTACTTCATGTCTCATGCTCTAATATCTGCCTCTTAGGTAGCCAATTGCTGATTTGTCCATCCCTATCAAACCGGTACTCTGAGGGAACAAGCACATCCCTTTTGCTGAAGGATCCTCTGTTCGCCTTGGAAACTTTGAGCCTCTGCATGATGGTTACCAAGGATGGGGTGTGGCTGTTGCTATGCACCATCAAGTCAGAACCAACCCTCCAGTGAGTTTTCAGAGGCAGAAAATCACACTGGAGGAAGCTACTCACCTTTCTCTTGTCAAGCCATTGGTGGGTTTGAACTGCCTGCCTTTGAGTTGGCAGGGCAAATCCTTACCATTAGGCCACCAGAGAGGAAGGGAAACCAGGGAATAGACAATAGTATATTAACATGAGAGAAGAGAAAGGCAGTATGCAACAAGATGATCAGTATAATATCACTCTTAAGAGGGAGGCTGCGGGGAAGGGCCAAGCAGGGAGAGAGAGCTTACAATGTGAGTGTTGTAATCCATGTCATAAAACAAAATGTGTATGAATGGTTGAAAGGAAAACCAGTTTGCTCTGGAAACTTCCACTCAGACCATAATTTAAAAGTCAACAATATAAAAAAGTGAGATGTTTAGAAATAATTAACAAGCGCGCGCACCCTACTCTGGAGGGGGAACGGGTGTAAACACGGAGGGCCTGGACTCACCTTGCCAAAGCTGGCTGCGTTGACCGGCTGGGTGTCGTTCTTCTCACAGAAGTCCAGGTAGTGCATGTAGAGGGCGCTCCGGGGGATGCAGACCCCCTCAGCAATCTCGTAGTTCTCCTCCAGCCTGGGGGGAAATCAACACGCAGTGAGCCAAGGGGCTGGTGTGTTTCCTGCCTCAGAGACTGGGCCAGGCTTCCCCGTCCTCCTCCTGAGGTCAATGGGCCTTGGAAGGAATCACCTTCCTGCAGACGAACTCTGAAGCTCAGGAGGACAAAGCTACCTGTCTACCTGACATCAGGAACAGAATTAGCAGGTCAGCAGGGCCCAGGTTCCCGGGCCTTTTATGTATAACCACAGGTCACTCTGTCCGCGAGCGGATTCCTAGTCCCTCTCCGTCTGCTGTCTGGCCACATTCTGAGTGGATCAAAACCCAAATCATTTGGGGCTGAGTCAGTTCCGAGCTGTAGAGACCTCACAGGGCAGAGTAGAACTACCCCCCCCCCACCCCGGGAAGCCCTGGTGGCACAGTCTGTGACATGCTGTCCTCGAGTGCTGGTAGGTGAAACCCACCAGGGCCTCCAGCAGGGAGAGAGTCAGGGAGCCTCTTCACATGCCGTTGAGATCTCTGGAGGCCAATGGAGAATCACTACGGAATCATAAATCAACCACACGGCAGAGACTGATACTGTGAGTGGACCTTTATGGGAACAGACTGCCATGCTGTTCTCCCACAGAGCAGCTAGTGAATTTGAACTGCCAGTCTTTCCCTTAACAGCCAAGCGTGTAACCACTGCGCCACCAGGACTCTTCCTGAGGAGATCAGGTCCTCCAGATGCCAAAAACTCTTCAAGACTTTGCATGTGCCCTGCCCAGCCAGGCCAGACCCTCACTCTATTTGTCACAGCAGGAAGCCCTGGTGGGGGGCATAGTGTGAAGGAATTGTGCTGCCAAACCAAAGGTGGTAGTTGTGGTTGTTGTTGTTGTTGTGTACTGTAGAGTCAGAACTAACTCATAACTGACCTTCCAGTGGGTTTTCAGAGGCAGTTAATCGCACAGGAGGAGATTGCCCATACTTCTCCCACAGAGCAGCTGGTGGCCTCGAACCGTGTGCCTTAGGGAATGCAGTACGGCTTCTTGCCACTAGGCCAACAGAGCTCCCTCAACCTAGAGGTATGTGGTTCAAATCCACTGGCTGCTCCAATGGAGAGGGATGGGCGCTCTCCTCCCATGAGACTGACCCACTGGAGAGTCAGCAGTGTATCAGTTCTGACTTGACGGCATACAACAACAACAACAACAGTGAGGATTTCAGAAGGAAAGAACGCTGACATTAACGTCTATTGTAGAGGAGGATTCAACTTGGCTGGAACGAAATAGGTGATGTCTCCCAGTGTGACATCACTCTATCCCACGGACCTCATCCTGAACAGGAACAAACAGAATTCAGCCAGGCTCCAGAAACCTCTGGTGCTGCCACCCCGAGGTGCTCCTGCACTGTGCGTGCCATGGCCTCTGCCCGGTGGGCACTCACCCTGCAGAACCCTTGCCCCCCTGGGACCTGTTGGCTACATCCTCCTATACCATCATCTGGCCCAGCTGCACCACGGTTTCTACACCTGGCCCCAGGGCCACCAAAGTCTGGCTTACCAGTGCCCACAGCTCACATTGCACAAAATTGGTATAGACAGTTTTTTGGTGTCATACTCTCTAATAGTTTTGGTGGCCCAGTGGTAAGGAGCTGCACTGCCATGCCAAAGGCAAACAGTTCAAATCCACCAACTGCTGAGAGGAAGATGAGCAATCTCCCCCCAAGCAATCTGCTGCCTCTGAAAACCCATCAGGGGGGTCAGTTATGACTTGGTTCCCAACTGACCCCAAACAACCACCACCACCACCACCACCCTCTAATGGTGTCACTCACCACTGGCTGTGACCCCTCCATTCCTATAGTGTCCCCACTGGGAAAACAAAAGGTCAAGGTGAGACTACATGGTCATTAACACACCAGCTGGAGGGAGTTTTGTACCCCAGGAGAGAGTTCAATCTCTTGATTCCCTTCAGTTTGTCTTCTCTGTCCGTGCTGTGTTGTAAGTAGTGTCGAGTCAGAAGTGACTCATAGCTGGCCTTCTGGTGGGTTTTCAGAGGCACAGGATCACATGGGAGGAAACTGCCCACCCCTCTCTCTTGGACCAGCTGGTGGATTCAAACCACATGCCCTTGGGTTCACAGCACAACTCCTTATCACTAAGCCACCACAGCTCCCTCTTCCTCTGCTGTATGAGGATTATATGACTCTATACCTGCTCTTGCAGAGGGTCAAGGACTGCAGCCTCCAATATGGATTGAGGCTCAATGTCAAGAAGACAAAGATTCTCACCACTGGACCAATTGGCAGTATCAGGATCGATGGTGAAGAGATTGAGATTGTACACAGCTTTAGTTTGCTTGGCTCCACAGTCAACAGTCTTGGCACCAGCAGCCAGGAAATTAAAAGATGTATTGCAATGGGAAAGTTTGCTGTTAAGGACCTTTCCAAAGTTCTGAAGAGCAATGGTGTATCTCTGGAGACTAAGGTGTGTCTGATACAGGCCGTGGTCTTTGCAACCACTTGTTATGCATCAGAGAGTTGGACAATGACTAGGGAGGATAGAAGGAGAATTGCTGCCTTTGAGCTGTGCTGGATGAGTATTGAGTGTACCATGGACTGCTAAGAATATAAACAGATTCATCCTGGAGAGGGTTAAACTGGGCTGCTCCTTGGAGGCAAGGATTCTGAAGCTTCATCTGACGTACTGTGGATATGTTGTAAAGAGGGAGAGGTCCTTGGAGAGGGACATCATGCTTGGGAGGGTGGAGGGACAGAGCAGGAGGGGAATACCCTCTATGAGGTGGATTGATTCAGTGACTGGGGTAATCAGGATGGGTGTGTTGGAGACAGTGATTGGCACAGGACAGAGCAGAGTTTAGGGCTGTTGTACATAGGGTCTCTATGAGTCGACTCGATAGTACATAACAACAACAACAACAACATACTTGCTCTTGTCTCATGGGTTAGAGGTTAAATGTAGGAACACACTCAAGCTCTGGTGGCCTAGTGGCAAGAAGCTGCGCTGCAATCCTAGAGGTACAAGGTTCGAATCCATCAGATGCTCTGCTGGAGAAGGAGGGACAATTTCCTCCTGTGCCAGTCAGATCCAATTAGACAGTACACACACACACACACACAAATTAACAACAACAATAAGAAGAAGAAGAAGAATAAAAATAAAAGAGTATGAACTTAGGTTGTTGTTAACCTACAGAAAAGAGAAACCTGCTTAATCCTGTATCATCCTCACAATTGCCATGGTGCCCAAGTCATTGTTGCAGTCACTGTGTCAGCACAAGCCCTCTCCCTGAGGACCTTTCCGTTCTCCTCTGCGCATCTACTCTTTCAAACATGATTTCATTTTCTAGGAATAGGATCCTCCCAATAACACACACAAAGTAAGTAAGACAAAGTCTCACCACCCTTGCTTTGAAGCAGCAGCACTCTGCGAGCACATCTTCCAAGGCATATTTGTTAGGTGGTTTATTGGGGGGGGTTGGTAGTCTGTGGTACAGATAATATTCCTTGCCACCAGCTGTCTGCCAGCTTGTTGCACTGTGGTATCTTGTGAATTTCTGTGATGCTAGAGGCTATGCCACTGATATTTCAAATACCAGCAGAGGTGTCCAAGGTAGGCAGGATTCAGTGGCGTTTCCAGACGTAGACCAAGAGGCAGAGTTGGCCATCCACTAGTGAACAAATGAGACATTTAAAACCCTTTGAATAGTGAGGACTCTATCTGGGTGCAGATCCTAACTTTGCTACTTACTTACTGCCTTGGTGGCCTTGAGCAGACCAGTTGACCTTGGGCATCAGTTTCCTTTTGGGGTCAAAGACTGTAACAAAGTCACAAGATGGTAAGCATGTAGTAAGTTCTTGACCTTGTCACATATCCTTTCTTGCCATAAAACATAAAAGCATTTGAGACGCTTGTATGTCCACATTCTGTGCAAGATGCATAGGATATAAAACTAGTTAACAATTATCTGTTTCTTCTTCTTCTTCTTCTTCTTCT